TGACATTCATTTTGCAGATAGCTCAGGTATCAAAATATTTCATATTCCTGCCTAAATTGCTATTCCATCCAAGAGATAAGATATAGTATATGCAGCAGCATTTCTAATAAGAAACTCTGAACTCTCTCTGCACTGCACTGTTTAGAGTAAGGAGCCCTCATTACTAGTGCTGTTCTTGATTTACCTAGGCTAAGTTAAGACATTAATAATTCAGGACTCAATAAGAATGACTCAGTGAAATATTGTGCAACTTCTGCTGACTTCTGGCAATTTAAATAATTTAGCTGACTGAAATAGATTAGGATTTGTAAAAACTGTAAGAATTAAACCAGTCAAAGGTTTGGAATAATTATGTTTTGTTTTTTTTAATTAAACAAGTCTCTTCTACTCACCAAGGCTGCATTTATTTGATCAAAAATACAGTAAAAATAGTAATACTGTGAAATATTACAATTTAAAATATTCAGAAATGATTATATGCTGATTTGTTGCTAAAAAAAATTAGCATTTAATGACAACATTCAAATATAAAATAAACATCAATGTTAAAAAAAAAAGTTGCTGCTTAATATTTCTGTGGAAACCGTGCTACACTACTCTTTACAGGTTTGGTCATCAGGGATGCTGCATCATCACAAAGTTTATCATTTGCACTTTTTTAAGCCTTGCCAATTAAAAAAACTCAATTCGTTACTCCTGCGTGGTTTGAGAAGTTTAGCGTGAGCACATATCCAAAGCGCGAGCCCAAAAAGACAGCGTGCAAATACTGAATTGTGTTCTCTTTCACATCATCTTGCAGTTGAACAGACAAATTTACACAACACTGTCAAAATGCCCATATTGGCGTATACTGTATATCCTCGTAAACATAGTCGGTTATGTCTTAATACCCGAACTTAACGGTTGAGAAATAAAACGCATATGTAACAGTACATTGGATCCGTGCTTTATGTCTTAAAGGGTCATGAATCCCCAAACCAAATATTCTGAGATTTTAACAGAGGTATGCGTGTTGATAACCATTGAAGACTATGTTAGCATCTATTAGATTTAATAGTTCTGTAGATTGAATAGTTCCGGGTTTAAAATCTTCTTCGTGTCCACGTCACAGTGCACTGTGAGTGCGTTGATGACTCATCGGTGTCTCATAATTATTAATGAGACTAAGTTTTCATATGAGAAGACACTGTCTCTTAATTATTCATTACACAACGTGGATATTTCCAATGACAGACATGTTAAACTGTAATATCGCTGTAATATTAAACTGTAATATCGAGAGAGGCAATCATGGGACGCAAGTGTTTGTTTTCGTGGTGCAAAAGTCCAAGTGGGTTGAAGGCGTAATTTATGTCCCGTAGACAGGTACGTTGCATTATGATTGCAAGCAGTATCAATAATGTCAAAAATGTGACGAGCAGTCAAATGTCCCGGTGTGTGTGTGCAAGTGTTCTTCTCACCACCGTGTTTTGACGAGTTTCATAGGCTTGATATGGTTTCTTATTCAAAAGTGGTCAAAATTTGATTATTTGTTCTTAGTTTATTAATGACAGTTTACTTTGTCTTTAACAATATTTTAAATTTATACGAGTTGGCTGACATAACCTTATTTATTAAGGTAACATGGGCAAGAAACAATGCAAACAATAAGGTAAATAGGCCTATATATATATATATATATATAGTTCTTTTTTGAAGTAGTTCCATTGAAAATTAATGTGAAATTCATACTTTTACTCAGCAAAGGAATATTTAATTGGTCAAAAGTGACTGTAAAGACATTTATGTCTTTATGTTACAAAAAATATAAATACTTCAAATAAATGCTGTTTTGAACTTTTTATTTATCAAAGAATCCTGAAAATGGCCACCAAAATATTAAGCAGCAAAAAAATTCAAAATTAATAAGAAATATTATCAATAATTGAGCACCAATAATAATTCATAATAACTGATAATATTTGATAACAAAACCAGCATATTAGAAAGATTTATGAAGAATCGTGTGACACTGGAGTAGATTTATTAGCTGATGAAATTCAGATTTGCATCACAGAAATAAATTACATTTTAGCATTTATTAAAATACAAAACAGTTATTTTAAAGTTGTGTAATGTCATTTAAAATACAATAAATTACCAATATATACAAAAATAAATCACTGCCTTACAGTTCTGTAATCTGACTTATTTTCCAAGTGATTTAAGTCACATTAAGTAGTTAGATGGGTTGTTGAGCGTTTTTCAGATTGACTTTAAGTGCTTCAATTTTCATAGTGCATTAATTTTTAATATATTTTGAATTAGGTGTTATAAGTAATAGTATTTCTATTACTCCTGGTGTTTGGTGTCTGCAATAACTTTTTTGAAGTGCATAAACAAGCTGATAACTTATCAGACCAAACTAGACAGTCAACAATAAAACATTCAATTACTATTATAATAAATATTCAACCTTAAGTTTAATTCTATGCTACATTTAATATATTCAGGTGAACCTCATGAACAAGTGATCAGGACTTATTTCACTCCAAGATGAAAAAAAAAGGTTCTAAAAATAGGTTTCGGGTAAGATATAACCCCAATATTTTTATAACAATTTTCATAAAATTGACCCTTACTAATCTTCATCAGCACAAGAAAACTACACTGAAAAAAGTACAAAACTTACCTCACAGGAGAAAAAAAAGACAAAAATCAAGTTTCACTTTGAGGATTCAAGAACACCCAAACCACCTGCGAATAAAAATGCCTCCGGATTTCAAATTGTTGACCTAATCAACACTCCTGCACGGCAAGGATTTATCCATTCAGCTGCTCTGGCAATCCAGCACATCTCGAACAAAAAAGCAGACACAACCCTCTCCACAAACTGACATCTGCACAGTTGAGCGGATTCCAGTCTAGGCTAGTGTGACAGTCACAGTGGAGCATCTTTCCCTCAAACAACCTCCTCACTTGCTCTCCCTCTCTCGCTCTCTTTCTCCGTGTCCTCTGGCAATGCATTCCAACACAAAGCTAATCTGGAACTGTCAAAATGCCAGCATCCCATCTCTCCTTTCTTGTCGCCATTGCCTACAATTAAACATTTGAATGTTACAGGGCACTTTTGTTTTTTTGGAATTTTGTAGTCAATTAATCAAATAACACAAATGTTATATTGCTGCTCAAAAATCCTCCATATGTTGATTATGAAGTGCAACCAATGACAACAAACAACAATTCGTTAAAATGCTAAAGACCAATCAGGGTATGAGCTAAATCGTATTATACTGTTAAAGCAGAAAGGTGTGTAAATCTAGTCTTAGCGGTCTTATCTGTGTTTGATTTATGACTGTAAGGAGGCATATAAGACGCTGTTTTACAGCTAAATCTCCTTTAATGCAGATATTTATAAGAATAAGCTCATTTTGAAATTATTCCCTATGTCCTTCACAGCAAAAATAATTTACGTGACTAAGTAACGTGCTGAGCCACACCCATTGTCTCTCCACTGTATTAAATTAGCAGCTTTTACATAAGCATTCACAATAAGTCGCAAGCAGCAATCACTATAATGGAGCCTCAATCAAGAGTGCCTTATGTGAAACCACTTAATTAGCATGAGCTGCGCGTTATCGGAATAAATTACTACACCTTTAAAAATTCATAGTCCTATCGACATTATACATAAAAGTAGACATTGTCATATAAAATCAAAAGCAGGCACTTTTCATCCAAAGTAATCAAAATTAGAATTAATCTGATTTGACATTATTATTTTGTGATGCTATTAATTCTGATTTAAGGCCACAAAAGTGCCTTGCGATGTTCATTTATTTCTAGTGGCTCACACACTCAATTTTGTGTGCGGTCAAATGAAAGAAACGATAGGGGACAACAGCATTGCTAATTACTGACTGTCAAGATGAGAGAGAAAGAGAAAGAGAAAGGGAGAGACAGAGAGAGAAAGAAATGGGGCAAACAGCACTAGATTTATAGAACAAGCAACAGAACAAGGGAAAAAAATAAATATAATGATGTAATACAAAGCTTTAAAATGGAAGTAATCTTAATTGCATTACATAGTTAGGCTACACAGAGTGTAAAAATGTATAGTATATACTGTAATTGCCAATAAATAGCCAATAATTATTTTAAATGAATCATGGAAACTCATAGAAATAAGTATTAATTATTAAAAGTAAATTATAGAACATATCTGCAATTAATATTTTTAAACACCGCAAAGATAATTTAAGCATAAGCACTATGAAATTATTTTTTATACACACCCTAGCACATTATACTCCACTGCATATACCTTTACTCCATCTTTAACACTATATTCCAACACTTTTGATGATTAGACATGAACAATAGCCCTGTAGTTTACTTTGTAGACTTCCCAGAGTCAATTCCCCAATTTCTTTTAACTAGTCATTAAATACCCTTCAAGACACACACTATCTCTAGCTCCCTGCCTCTCTATGCTTAATTACTCTGAGACTTTATCAGAGGCATCAGACAGCAACTCTTCAGAGCCTGACCTTGGCCCTCGCAGATTAATGCTGTGAGGTCTAGGCTAGGAACCCAGCATGCCTTTCCTAGCTGATACTGTACCTTAGTGGACTACCATTTCGTAATGACGAATTTACTATGCCCCGAGGTTCAACCAACCCAAAAATGAAATGCAAAATAAATATTTCTAAAAGTCTCAAAAAATGACTATGTTTCAAGTTTAAATCTTGTATGGTAAAACTCAACCAATCCAAAACAGATGTTCATGAATGAGCTGATAGGGGCTGAACAATTCATACTTACCTACTAGAAAAGAATACAAGGCAAGTACTGTAGATTCAATTCAAATGATAATTTTATAACAGATTGATAAGATGCTGGTTACTTATGCAGGTTTTTAGGAAAAAAGATATGTGATAGTGTTTGATCTAAAGTGTGAAACTGGATCAAATGAAGGAGGAATGACAAAGGAGATGGAGGGTATGAGCTCCCTACTATACCTCCTTAAGCTGAACTCTCACTTTGTTGATTGCCTTAAGCCAGCGTACTCTGGATGGAGAGAATGGCAAAGCTGATCCATCATCCCTGAAGCTAGAAAAACAAAATATCTTGTGACACTGAATTCATGCTATTGAAAATATCTATTATAACAAATGTACACAGTAAACTGTAAGCTGTAACTCACTGTAAGCCAGTACAATATCTGTACCTTTTGAGAGTTTTTTCAGGCATTTTGTCCACATGAGAAACCCCCTCATTTTTAATGGTGCTGCTTATACTCTTTCCATTTTCTTGGGAGGATTTCAATCCCTCATCTTCCCCCCAGGAAGTATGTCCATTGGTAGGGTGATGCCCATTTCTGGATGGCCGATAGCCGGTGCTGTGGTAGGAATGGTAGGACTCCTCTAACTCTGAACAGGCAGCACTCTCCTGACCAGTCTCACTAAGCTGAGAACTAGCTTGACTGAGATTGCCTGAAGATCCAAAACGACTAGAGTCCACGGGGCTAAAGAAAGAAAGATTAGTAACAAATGAGTTACCGTCACTGAGATTGTGAACTACATTCACTGCATACTGTAAGTAGGTCTAAATTCCAATTAAGAAACACAATAAAAGCAACACACAGCTAATGGAAATACACAATTACACAACAGCTATACAATTCACGTTGCACTGAGAAACAACAATCACATGTAGGGAAAGACACCATCTTCATAAACTAAAGCTAAAAGTTAAACTAAAAGTCAGTTAGTGTGTTTACATGCACATTAATATTCTTAGTCTGCAAATTCTGATAATGATGAGGCCTTAAAATATTTTATCGTTTAGAAACCGTTTAGAAATTGGTATCTGAAAATTTTAGAAAGCATATTTTTTTGGTGTAACGCACTTCAAATTGTAAAAGTAAAACACTAAACTACATAAGAAATAAACATTTATATTTTTATATACACATTAGCCTTGTAAGAATTATGACTGTGCATGTAAACTTATTGCAACATAAATGGTTTATGAAACCATTTAGTATGCTGCTACTAGCCTTTTTGGAATCAAAAGGTCCTTCTTTTCCTGCTGTAATCCTGAAGGGACATCTGTAGAAGGTTGGGTCTGGATATGGATTTCTATTTCTTTTTGTGGAGGTGGATCAGGTGTGGAAGCACCGAGTTGGGGCTTATCTGTGTCATTTTCTGGGACAACAAATTCTGTCTTTTGGTCTTCAGAATTTGCAACAATTTCTTCCTTTGAGATAAAATTGTTATTCCCTATTTTAGCAGTTGTACTATCTTCAAAATGTAGTTTATTCTCCTGAGCTTTAGGCTGGGTTGTAACAATTGGAGGTGTTTGTTGCTTAAGAGGTTCCGGAGTTTCTTTCTGCCATGGAAAACCAAATTTTGCTCCAAATAAAGATGTTGACGTTTCTTCTTTCGATATCACAGTCTTCTCTTGAAACAGCCCTGGTGAAATTGACTTAAATCCAGAGAGAAACTTGCCACCTTCTGTGTTTGATATTGAGGGTGGTGAAGAAAAGAAAGATCCAAAAGACTTTCCAGCGTCTGCAGCTCCAGACATGAAACCAAACTTAGGTGGTGTTAAACCTGGCATGCCAAATATGGACTGAGAAGGTTCTGATGATGGAGGGTGTTGAGCTATTTTTGAGCTACTGTCTACTGCAGGAACTGATTTGTCTGTAATCTTTGCTTCAGGTTCAGAAACAATGACAATATTTTTCTCATGTATTACTTCACCTTCAGTAGGCTCCTTAACAACTGTTTCAGCTGGATGACAGCTGGGAGCTGATGTGGGATCTACAGTTGCAACTGTTAAATTACTGCAAGTATCATCAGCAGGCATTTCTTTCACAGGCAAATGGATTTCTACTTTATCTCCAGACAATGTAAGATCCCCAGGAGATGACCGTGAATCATTATGTGCACTCTGATCTTGGACTGACTGAAGCGACTGAGTAGAGGTAACAGATTGTGTTGCGTCAGCTGCTTTGGGTGCTTCAGGTGATTTAAACATACTGAAAAGGTCCGTTTTTATGGACTCAGTGGGTAGGCTACTTGAAAGGCCAAAGAATGAGGTTTTTTGTGTGGTGGTGTTTGGGTGTGGTTGTGAGAAGAGACCACCAGATGAATTTGTTACTGAACTGGCACCAGTGAACAGTTTAGACATAAAGCCACTAACAGCTTCAGTTGATGAGTCTATGACAGATTTCTGTGGCTCAGGATGTTTAGGATGTCCCTCAAAGCCATTGGGCTCAGTTGAATCACCCTGTTTTACATGTTGAGTTTGACCATCTGTAGTCTGAATTTCTGTTTTTATACTCTGCTCTGAGTTTGAATTAATATCTTTTAATAAAGCATCTCCAGGTACACTAGCATTTTTTAGGGTAACATCTAGATTACTCCCTTCAAGAACTATTGTCTCAACAATGGTATCTGAGCTTTTTTCAGTGATATCAGCAGAGACTGAAGCCATTGAAGCTGCTTTTTTGTCATCGGCCAAGGGTATAGAGTGCTTGGAATCATCATTCTGGGGTCCTGATTTATTTTCCTCCATGGAGCTCAAATTTGACAGGCCAAAGCCCACAGACTTATTACCCTCAGTCTCAGATGGTTTTGATGTTGGTCCAGTTTGACTAGCTGAAGGTGTTGAACTAGGACCACTGAACATGGAAAGAAGACCTTTTCCAGGAGCATCCTTAGAAGCAACTCCAGATAGAATACCTCCAAATATTGAAGAAGGCTGAGGTGTGGCCTGTTGTGGACTTGATCCACCAAACACAGAAAATAAACCTTTTCCTGGCAACTCATTAAAGGCAGAAGCACCTGGACTGTTACTCTCAACTTTATGCCCTGCATTGGCTGTACCGGGCTGTGAAGTTGGTCCAGAAAACATAGAAAATAGATTCTTGCCAGGAATTTCCATTGATCCTGAGGCACCGGGGAAAATCCCACCAAGTATAGATCCGGTTTGAGAAGAAGCATTTTGAGAACCTGAGCCAGAAAACATTGACAACAAGCCTGAGGTTGCTCCCTCTTTTGGTGGCACTACACCCGGAGCAGCAGAATCCTGCTGGTGTGCTGGTGACTTGTTCAATTCAGAAGATGCCAAACTACCATCAATAGCTCCCAATACCTCTTGTGGGGCTTTTGTTGCTGATACAGTTGGATCACAGCTTAGTGTCTCACTTGGCTGATGTGTAGTCCCACTGAACTTTGACAAAAGACCTTTACCAGGGGATTCATTTGAGAGCAGACCACTTAGAAGTGAGGAAGGATGAGAAGAGCCTGGCAATGTATTTTGTCCAGTGATAATATTAGGTGGTTCCTTTGACTCTTTTTGAACTTGAAGAGAAATTGAACTTGACACTGAATTTGGTTCCTGAGGGCTAGATTCACTAGACAAGGAGGGTAGTTCATTTACTGATTGCTCTTTACATGCCCTACTAGGTGGGACAACAGACTCAGGAGTCAAGCCTCCCTGCACAGCTGTTGGGTGGCTGATTGTTCCGGAGCTTACAAGTAAACCCTTTGCTGGACTGTCATTAGGTGGTTCCTTCGAAAGAGTTGCTCCTGTTGCAGAAGAAGATACTGATTGTGGTGGAGATTTTTGAGAGTTAAACCCATCCGAAACAGTAGTATGTTTAACTTTCTGCTCATTAGTAGGGACTGGAACTCTGGTGGATGGCGGTTGTGCTCCAAACATAGAGAATAGGCCTTTTGCTGGACTCTCATTAGAGGTTGATGATCCACCTAATATACCACCCAAAATTGATCCTGCCTGCTGTGAAGGTTGTTGTCCTGAACCACCAAACATAGAAAATAAACTTTTACCCAGGGGCTCTTTTGGTTGTCCATTCCCTTGGGGTGCAGGCTGAGTGGTAGATTGGAGATTAGGGCCACTGAACATAGACAGCAGTCCAGTTACTGGTGTATCTTTTGGTGGGTCAGCTCCAGATACAGGTGAAGTCTGCTGAGTGCTAGAACCACTAATCATAGAGAGTAAACCCATGGCTGATGTTTCCTTTGGAGGGACAGTTCCTGATGTTTGTTTTTGATGAAGAGAACCCAGTTGTGTTGAAGACTGTTGTGCACTAGTGCCACTGAACACAGAAAATAAATTCAGACCTTGAGTCTCTTTTGGAGGAGCAGATCCTCCTTGTGTGGGAGTTTGACTCGTGGATCCAGTCTGTGGTGAAGTCTGTTGAATGCTGGAACCTCCAAATAAAGTCAGGATGTTTTTGCCTGGTGGCTCTTTTGCAGATGCACCATCCACTGATTCTTGAGAAGAGGCAGATCCGGTTTGAAATGGAGTTTGTTGCTGACTGGAACCACCAAATATGGACATCAGCCCTTTGCCTTCCTCTTTAGAGGCTGTGGTCCCTGAGAACATATCCCCAACAGAGAAACCAAATAACCCACCAGACGGCTTGGAGGGGGCATCTGGTTTTGTCTCCCCAGTTGGTGGCATAGTTTGAGATCTCCCTGGTGTTGGTACCTTGTTAGCATCGGCAGAAAATATCTGAGATCCGGAGACACTTCTTTTTTGAAATGACTGTGATAGACTAGGTAATTCTGGCTGACGATCTTGCCCACAGGTACTCACTGATTGTTGTTTCTGAATTCCTTTAGGCATTGTTTTTGTTTGGCGGCAGTCTTTGTTTACATCATTTATCATAGAAGTTGGCTGCTGGTGTGAGGGAGAATGTTGCAGATTTGTCTTTGATAGTGTGGGAGAAGGACTTTCTATGTTAAAAAAATCACCTATTGACCCAAAAAGGCTAGACATTCCAGTTTTGTCTTGGTTTGCGGTTGAATCTTTTATGCTAGCAGACACAGATCCACCTTTCTCTGGTTGTCTAGATAACGGCTGAGTAGATTTAGAGGCCTCTGACTTTACTTCCTCCATTCCCACTGTTGTCTTGAAAAAGTTTAAAAACCCACCCAACTGCTCAGATGGCTTCCCACCATGTGTATCTCCTGGCTGAGAAACATCTGGAGAGGAAGATTCACAGGTTATACTTGAGCAGTCTCTAGAAGTTGCAGTAGTAGAACCAATGGATGTTAAAGAAAGAGAGGACTGTTGTGACATTGTGGCTTGTCTAGCCAGTTTGGGTTTCTGAGATGAGCTTAAAGTGGATGCACCTTGAGGAGTTGTGGAAGCTGTTGACTGTGTTGGAGATGTTAGTGACACTCCAGATGTCGTTGAAATTGGTTTGGATGCCAACTGATTTGTACTCTCCGAGCGAGTTGTTCCACAAGAGGAGTCATCCTTTATGATCTTTGATTTAAGACTCTGAAAACCTGTTGAGATTATATTTTTGGCTTGCTGATCAATAAGTCGAGTTTCTCCTTTGGCAGGAGGTAATTTTGAGGCAGTTGTGTTTTTGGTTGATTCTGAATCTAAGTTTTTGCCAACAATTGAGGACAGAAAAGACGATATTTTCTTAATGGATCGATCTGGCTGCTCCTCCCCAGGCTGTACTCTCTTTCTCCACTC